GGGGGGGGGGATGTGCAAGGTGCGTGAGGCCAGGCCGAGCCCGGTTCGAGGGGGAGGACACACACAAGTGGGTGCAAAGTTGTAGTTCTGGGGGGAGGGGGGGTGTCAGCCACCCTCCCCCCGCCCAGGACAGTGCCCACCCTGCGAGATCGTGGGGCCCCCCACCCCGGCAGGGGGGTGCGGGGGGGGTGATGCCACACAGGGCTGGCTCCACCCGGGGGTTTTATTATACCCCGCAGGACGGGGGCTTCACAAAGCGTGTGATGGTGCCCTTCCTGCCTCTTTTCTTTCTCCCCCACCTCCCTCCTTCCTTTCTTTTATCACTTCCTTTTATTATGCATGCCCAGGAAGGAAAGGGGGGTGGACTTTCCTTAATAGCAGGCCCGGGGGGGGGGCTTCAAAGCAGCCCCATGGAGGGCTCGTCCTAATGAGGAGCCGCGCACATCCCTTCCCACCCCGGTCCCTGCCGAACAGGCTCTTCAACTTCTGCTCCACTATTCCTTCCCCCTCCTCCCTCCCGTCCTCCCCCTGCCAGGAGGTGCGGCCGGGATCCTTCTCCAGCTGCAATCAGCCTAGATTTCCTGGGCGTGAAGAGATTTTATATTATTTTTCTTTTTTTTTTTTTTTTTAAGATCTAAGCCACCGCCCGTCTCCCTGCTCCTGGGCTGGTTTGTTTAATCTAAGAGTAGGTGGCAGGAGAGGGGGATTTATGAGGTTATTTGCAGGGAGCGGTGTAAGCCGGCGCGGGCGGGGGAAGGCCCAGGGGCAACCAAGGAGCATCGCTCCGAGGGGCCAGGTTGCCTCTTTTGCAACCCAGCCCTCTCTTGTGCAAGAGGTGGCTGCTGAGGCCGGCCCAGCTCGTGTCCTGGAGCGGAGGGAGCTGCTGGGGCTGGGTGAGGAGGGTCCAGCATCTCACCATCCGTAGGGATGGAGAGGGGAGGAGTTTTTCATCCCCCCCCCACTCCATCGATCCAGAGGCAGATGTAGCCCCCCTCTCCCACCCCCAAACCTTGCAGGGATTTATCCCTCCCAGCCTCGGGGAGCCTGGCAGTCCCCTGGCCTCATCTCTGACTGGATCCTCCCTGCGTGGAAAGGTTTCTCTCTCAGCTGCTTCCTTTCCTCCATGGCAACACAGCTGCTCCAGCCTTCCTAGATGGCTTTGATGCTTTGGAGCAGCTTCCCACGCCGTGCCCGGCACCGGCCGGTGGGCTCGGGGTGTTCTGGGGCCAGGCAGGTGCCACCAAGCTGGGGACCATCACACCGAGCCGGGGTCACGCTTGGGAAGAGGGGTGCTGGCTGGGAAAGGTGCTGGGGTGGGAGAGAGGAGCATCCCCATCTCCCACCCAGGCATCCTCCTCCTCATCCCCCTCTGCTCCATCGGGGTGTGGAGTCCTCTGTCCCCTGGGGTGGTTTCGGCTCTGGAGCCCCTGGGGGGAGCTCGGAGGTGGGGGGGGGACGGGTGGGATGTGGACGTACTTTCCCCAGCACCGACAACTTTGTGGGGACGGGCTGTGGCTCGGAGGGGCCGTACCGATGGCGTCCCCTTGGCAGGGAGGGTCCCCTCAGCATCCCTGGCCGGGGCCACTCATGGGGCCCATGGCCGTCCCCATTGGGGTGGGGGAGAGCACAGCGGGGTGGGGGCCACACTGGGCCCATCTGCTCCCAGCTCCGGGAGAGGGGACAGCACAGCTCGGGGGCTGCCTTTCCTCCAACAAAGATTAACTTAAAAAGAGACAAACCCATCCCAGCCCCCAGCCGGCGTTTTGCTTTCCTAAACCTAAACTATACTTTTAATTTTTTTTTTCTTTTTTTTTAAGAGACTCCTTGGAGGGCTCTGGGATGCCGTGAGTAATATTTTCAGGGTGTTTACACGACAGCATGGTTTCTGTCTCCCAAAAAAAAAAAAAAAAAAAAATGTTGTTTTGCACTCGTGAGTCACTTCCAGAGGGGAGCGGGAGCTGACGCGTGTTTTTTGAAAAGCCTCAAAGGTCTGAGCACGCTCCTCGCACCGCATGTCTCACCCGTGCCTGTTCCAGCCATCCCAATGAGGCTCAGGGTCCCTGGGGGGGGTTCAGCACCCCAGCCCCCCGCCACAGCCCCGCTCTCCCCGGTAGCACCGTCCCGGCTGCTCTAACACCATCCAAATTGAAACCAGTTGCTCAAAACTAAGTGATATTAACCCAGTGGGCAGAGTGCCTCCGTCTTTGCCCGCAGACCGGGCATACAACCTTGTACCTGCTGGAGAAGAGGGGCTGGGGGGGACTGCCGTGCTCTGGAGACATGGGTCAGACCCAGGGGTGTCTGCAGGGACCGTCCCCAGGGGGAGAGGTGGCCCAGGGGGGTGACAGCACCCATCCCAGAGCCACACTGTGATTTTCTAGCCAGGCAGCTCCAAGCCCTGCGCTTACGGGCGACGAGAGCGGGACGCTGCTCCCACAGCTCCGTTTGGGCTGGGAAATGCCACAAGCACTGCCCTGAGCCACGGTCGCCCAACAGAGGAGCGGAGCAGCCACCCTGAGCTCGGGGTCACCAGTAAGCACTGGGGCTGTGGGAGCAATCCTGCTCCCTTCCAGCCCGGAGCCCATCCTCCTGGCTCCTGGGCAGGGAGCGGAACCGGCCCCACGGTTCTGGAAAAGCAGGTTTTCCCTACGGCCCTGGGACAGCATCGAGGTGGAGAGGGGAAGATGGAGCCTTTTTCCTCCTTGGGATTTCCCCAGGAGCAAGGAAAGCCACCCAGCACTTTGGGACGCGCACTGGGGAGGGGACAAGCCAGCATCCCTGGGACCAGCCTGTCCCTAAACCCGGCCGGGGTGGCAGGAGCAGGGCCAGAGGTGCAGCACCCACCCTGGGTGCAGCCGTGCTGGGTGTGGAGGTGGGGTGGATCCTGCACCACCCTTCCAGGGCCCTGGGACCCCCCATGGGGATGCCCGCAGGCCCCCGGTGCCGTGCCACCACTCGTCCTGTTCCAGCTTGCCAGCGCCGGCAGCGTGTCTGGGATTTCAAGGACTCCAGATTAAATCTGGAGCCGCTCCCCTCCTTTTGGGGAACAGGAACGGGCTCTGCGGGAAAGGGTGCTGCTCCCAAAATGCCTGCTGGGGACCTCGGGAGCTGCCTTAGCACTGGGATACTGGCTAATTCAGGGGGGTGTCCGTGCCATGGGCTTGTGGCCAGGATCCTGCCTGGCAGCCGGTCCGTTTTGCTCCCCATCCTGTGACGGGAGGATGCAGGTTGTGTCCCCAGGAGGGATGCAGCTGCAAACCCACCCCGGGGGAAGGCAGGGAGCAGGGATGGGTGAGACGGGGAGGTCTGAGCACCCAGAGCCTCTCCCAGCCCGTTTGGGAGCAGCAGCCACCACGTGGGGCTGGTCATTAGGGCCACGAGAGCGGGGAGTGACACCAGGGTCCCGCTGCTGGGGTCTGGCCCCGCAGCCACCGACACGTTGCTCCGTCCCTGGGCTCGGGGCATCGTCCCGGGACTCCAGGGGTGCGAGGGGACACGCGGCCGGGACCGGCACGGGCCAAAGGTCTGTTTGCAGGAGGGACACGGGTGCAGCGGGGGCGGTTTGGCAGATCCCAGCTTTGCAGCAGCGACAGAGGGGGGGGGTCACGCCTGCCCGAGGTGCCCTGTGTTTGTGGGACAGAAAATCCCTGCACCCCACGGTGAGGTGCTGCCAAATGGGGGTTAAAAAATAGAAGCGAGGGTCTCTTTTAGGTATAATTCTTAATGATGCTTTTTGGTTTCTCCCCCGTGGGCCCTGCCAGCCCCCTCATGGGCTGGTCCCCCCCACTCCAGGCAGGGAGAGGAGCAGGATGTGGGCAAACCCCCGGGAAGGGTTGGAGTGGAGCAGAAGCTGCACTGCAACTTCAGCTGAATTTTAATGCTACGAGGCATTCTCAGAGGGGGGGACCCTGTCCTTGTCACCTCCTGTCTGTGCTGATAGCCCACTGGCCACCCCCATCCCTGCAGATGGATCAGCAGCTGGGGGGGGACCGAGCATCCTTACCTGGGGGGAGCGGGGGGCAGGGGCACGGCCACGGCCAGGCTGACCCTGCGGGAGGCTCCGGTGGCTCCTCTTGTCCCCTGCAGCCTCAGGAGTCACTTCTGTAGCCCCCAGCACCCCCCTGCCCCGGGGTGAGGGCTTGTGGGGAGCAGCACTGGCTGATACGGCATTGCTGACCAATCTTCCTCCCCTTCCCACTCCTCCTCACCACCGCCGGAAGGAACCATGAGTGAATCCAGCACCAAATCCAGCCAGCCCCTGGCCTCCAAGGGGGAGAAGGACGTGTCGGAGAAGAGGGGACGGGGCCGGCCCAGGAAGAAGCCGCAGGTACGTGGGGTCCCCCAGGAGGAAGGGGGAGGGTGGGCACCCCACTGGGCAGCTCTGCCCACCCCCAGGCTATGGGGCAGCAAGAGCCACCCCCAATTTCACCCCAGCAGCATCCCCTGGGAGGGATGGGGATGCCCAGGGTGCAGCCCCCGTTACCTCCCTTCAGGCAGCACCTACCAGGTACAACAAATCCCTCCTGGGGGGCTTCGGGTGCAGCCCCCATTACCTCCCTTCAGGCAGCACCTCCCAGGTACAACAAATCCCTCCTGGGGGGCTTCAGAGCCCCCCCGACCAAAGCCCTGCGACACCCCAGAGCTCCTCCTCACCCAGGGAAGGGCTCGGGGCCTCCCCTTGCTCCTCCCCAGGCTGCAGCTGAACCTGCCTTTGCAGATGGGCTAATTAAAGCCCCATTAAGAAAAGCTGCTCAGAGGGATAAGATGCTGCCAGAGCCTTTATGGTGCCAAGCCCCCCCCCTTATCACCCCACCCCGAGGCAGGTGGGGGTTTGTGCACATAATTTTCCTGCAGAAAAGGCAATTTGCTGCTTCCCAGACATTTTGCCAGGCACTGGCACCGGCAGCGAGTGGGGTCCGGGGCCGAGGCACTGGCGGGGACCCTGCGGTTAAGCCGAGCGATTAATGCCAGGGCAGGACGGGTCACGTACACACCCGGCTGAAGGACGTGCACCCAGTTCAACCAGTGCTCCCAGTACCACATCCAAGAGCATCCCTGCCCCCGCAGGGTCTGCTGGGGAGAATGGGGCTGCCAGCCCGGAGCATCCTGGGGCGCGCTGCTGCACCAAGAGCCGCTCCGAGCACCCATCCCTCCCTGGGGACCCCCAAACTGCAGTGACCCCCCCTCTGCTCTCCCGGGCGCGCTGCTGCACTGAGAGCCCCTCCAAGCACCCATCCCTCCCTGGGGACCCCCAAACTGCAGTTACCCCCCCTTTGCTCTCCCTCCAGCAGGAGCCCAGCGAGGCCCCGACCCCCAAGAGACCCCGCGGACGGCCGAAGGGCAACCCGGCTGAAGGACGTGCACCCAGTTCAACCAGTGCTCCCAGTACCACATCCAAGAGCATCCCTGCCCCAGCAGGGTCTGCTGGGCAGAATGGGGCTGCCAGCCCGGAGCATCCTGGGGCGCGCTGCTGCACCAAGAGCCGCTCCGAGCACCCATCCCTCCCTGGGGACCCCCAAACTGCAGTGACCCCCCCTCTGCTCTCCCTCCAGCAGGAGCCCAGCGAGGCCCCGACCCCCAAGAGACCCCGCGGACGGCCGAAGGGCAGTAAAAACAAGGCCACCCCAAAAGGAAGGGTAGGTGGCTGGGGCCAGGGGCTTGCTCTGGCTGAGCAGCCGTGCGCTGGGACGACGGGTCCATTTTGAGCTCAATTATAGACAATTCGGGGCAGATCTACCCTTGGGAGGGGGGTGTTCTCAGTGCTGGCCCTGGGGGAGGTGGGGAGGGAGCCAGGGACAGCGTGTGTCAGCCTGTGGACACCCACAATAAACCTGTTTGCAAAAGGGGCGACTCACATCCTGCGCCCCCCCCTGAGTCATGGGGCTGGGGCTGCTCCGGTGCTGGGAGCCAGGGGCTGGGGGGGGTGGGGGGGGCCTGGCTGTGGCCCTGGGGCCACCTGGGTGCAGCAGCCTGGGACATGCCACTGGGGTGATGAATTTGGCCGTCGCGGGTGGGAGGAAGGGGAATGTTGTCCGTCCATCCCCCCGGCAGGATCCTGGGGACAAGGGGATGGTGCCAGCCTGACCAAAATGTTTTGTTTTGTTTTTTTTTTCTTTCTGGTTTTTTGGCTCAGAAAGCTGCAGTCACACCAGGGAGAAAACCTCGAGGCCGACCCAAAAAATCGGTGAGTGGGCTTTTCCCTTCCTCCTCCATCCTGGCAGGGTGCGGGGCACTTTTGGGGGCGCTGGCTGTCCCCGAGCGTGGGGGAGATGCTGCTGGGCTGGAGGACCACCAAAATGTCTTTTTTTTTTTCTTTCTGTTTTTTTTTTTTTTTTTTGGGTGATGAATTTGGCCGTCGCGGGTGGGAGGAAGGGGAATGTTGTCCATCCATCCCCCCGGCAGGATCCTGGGGACAAGGGGATGGTGCCAGCCTGACCAAAATGTTTTGTTTTGTTTTTTTTTTCTTTCTGGTTTTTTGGCTCAGAAAGCTGCAGTCACACCAGGGAGAAAACCTCGAGGCCGACCCAAAAAATCGGTGAGTGGGCTTTTCCCTTCCTCCTCCATCCTGGCAGGGTGCGGGGCACTTTTGGGGGCGCTGGCTGTCCCCGAGCGTGGGGGAGATGCTGCTGGGCTGGAGGAGAGCAGAGCAGTGAGCAAAAAAGGGGCACGGCGTGGCATGGGACAGGCTCCAAACGCGACCACAACACGGTACTGGGGGGGCTGAGCCCCCCTGGTTCCCCTGTCTCCCCACGGCCCCGGGAAGGGCGTGCAGGAGGCGGTTGGTCCTGCCTTGGTGACATGTTGGCACACGCCTGCCCGGGCACCCGCTGCGTCACCAGCGCGGCATTCCTGCACTGCGTGCGCAGCCACCCCCCCGTGCACTACAGCCACCTCCCTTGCACTACAGCCACCCCCCTTGCACTACAGCCACCCCCCTGTGCACTACAGCCACCCTCTTGTGTGCTTTCCCTCCTCCATTTCATTTTTCCCCCCTTTCCCCCTCTCACTTTGCAGCCCCAGAGCATCACCCGGGTGGGAACAAGTTTCATCTCCCTTCCCGACATGCACATCCCACTGTCCCCAGTCCCCGGGCACGTCCCCGTGCCCAAGAGGTGCCACCAGGCACTGGGACACAGGAGCCACCCAAGAGCATCCCTCGTGGCGCAGCTTCTCTGCCCCGTGTGGGGTTTTGCCCCTTTTCCCACTTTAATTCCTCGTGGAGGGCGAGGGGATGAGACCAGCCGGGGCTGCAAACCAGGGGGGACATCCCGGGGGGTCTCCTGCCCCAGTGTCACAGCTCCAGGGGCTGTTTTGGGGACTTGGGGGCAGGGAGCCGGTTGGGCAGGGTGGGACCGAGCCCGTCCCACGGTGACGGGGCCGTGCCAGGGACACCGTGTCCCCTTTGGCAGCCGCCGGCCACGGTGGCTTTTTTTATGAATGAAGCAGGAGGAAGCGGGGGCCGGGGCTGACTCACTCACGCTCACACTCACGCTCACACTCACACTCAGCCCTGAGTCACTGCCGTGTGCGGGGCCACCACGCTCACAGCCACCCGCCCCATGTGCCGGACACACGGACACCCGTGAGACACACGGACACCCCGTCCTGCCACCACCAGCACCCCCATGGTGGCAACTGGGGATTCGGCAGTGGCACTGAGGACCGCAGTCCCCAACTGGGAGCACCCCCCCGGGGGGTTTCCCTGGGATTTAACCCATAATAGTTAAATTTAGAGTCTCCCAAATCTAGGAGGGGCTGGTGCCTCAGTGTCCCCTCTTGGCACAAGGGGCGTGATGTGCCCACTCAGCCCTTCTCCAGGGATGGGGGGGGGTGTCTGCAGCCCCCCAGCATTCCCCCCACCACCACCAACCGTGCCCCCTTGCCTCGCAGCAGCAGGACGAGGAGGAGGTGAACATTTCCCAGGAGTCATCCGAGGAGGAGCAGTGAAACCTCCCGGCACCGGCGCTACCTCATCGCCCGACGGTCCCCGCGTCCCCGGCGGCCGGAGCCGGGGGGGGAGAGGGACGGGGAGAAACCCCCCCACGCGCCGCCCTGGCTTCGTCCTCCTCCTCCTCCCTCCTCCACTCCTTCCTC